ATTATGGTAGAAAATCGTGCTCGTAGTCCAGTCGAGGGACACACAGAGGAATTTCTAACACAAAAAGCTGGCCATAATAAGAAAAAAAAAACTGTTTTTGAGTCTTACTACGTTGTTTTATTTAGGTTGTATACTTAACTATATGCTGCATGAAGTGGCATCGGTTGACACATTTTGGGAAGTGTTTAAACATTGACATTATTTAGAGCTATTTTTTACGTAGGATTACGTCTTTCGGCAACATATTGGGGGTGCAATTTCAAAAAACCAAAATCGACCGCGTTACGAAAAGTGGTCAGGTTTTGACCACTCATAACTCTGTCAATAGTGGATAGGTTTTAATTCTTAACAAACCAATCCATTGGAAATTTTTCTACGCATCTGCTTAATCAATTCTCAATAGGTCCCTATCGAAAATTACACAAATGTCCAACTGTTGAAATGGTGATAAAAATTATCACCGATTGTCTGCAAAACGTGCACAGACTTCAAAATCGAGTTCAATCTAGTCTCACCGAACGGTGCTTATTCAATCATCGTGTGTGGTGGTGTCAGATCCAAATATTGATACCGAGCACGTAATTCGACGTCAAATCTACGGTAATGTGTTGGATACAACCTCTTACTTTTTTTCATAAACCAACTACAGGTATACCTCGTTGCTCGTTATAACGTAACTGTTACTTTTGAGTTTCATCGTCGATTTCTCGCGAACAACAATTCAACCACACAAATTAACATTACGATTAGATAGGGGATTGCCTCACCTGTCCGATAGTATTGTTACTTTGCGTGATTGAATTGTTGCTTGTGAGAAATCGACGATGGAAGTGAAAAGCGACAGTTACGTTATATCGAGATATACCTGTATTTAGTAACAGCCTTTACCAGACGTAAACAAAATGTCAATGCTCCATATTTCTCAGAAAATGAGTTGCTTGTATTCAATGTCAATTAGTTGATGGATAATGGTCTCAATATTTTAATGTTTTAGCTTGTTCGATAAAATGTGATCTTTAAGTATTTTTCTACTTTTTCATTGCTAAAAATTGTCAAATTCTGAGTGATTCGATCAACATTCGATGGACGAATGAGACTTCAAGTTGACCTGAACACATTAGTGGTGAGAACTCATCTGGTTGCCGTTTGCGAGTTATTTGAATACCATATGTTCTACAATGGCTATGGCTCAAAATTTATAATAACTACTTTTTACATTGTTTTCATGTCTAATATAATCCAAAACAGCAGTAAATAATTTTGGCCAGGTTACTTCTATGTGCGACATTCCAATCTTCGACACTTCACATCTTGTGAAAGCTGTGTTCCCTGAGGTTCCGAACACTTGAACGAGATGAATAGCTTTTCAATCAGAATCCAACCAAAGAGACAATTACCATTGCCGGCCGCGTCCATCTGCTCCGTAACAGAAAAAAAGAACGATTTTGATGTTGCAACATGCAACAACGAGAGACCAGACACACCGACACCCTCATCGATGCTACGGAATTGGATGGTAGCGTAAGAAATGGATCAAGATTAGCTATAAGCAAGTAATGCGATTGTTTTGGAGGGGATTGTGAGTCAACCCATACTTAGGAAGCAGAAGCGTCTGCCACTAATCTAACCGAGCTCCTCAGATCAGAGATGACGAAGCACCAGTTCGGACGAGCTCCGAAAGTAAATCGACTGGACGGAGGCGGAGAGTATTCTGGTGCTACTTGGTGATACTTGGCGGAGATTAGAATCATTCTACAGTAAACGGCACCGGTGCAGAACGTAAGAACCGATATGAAGTAGAGATGATAGCAGTCAGCGCCGTCGGGGTTTCCTTCGGAAGGTAACTAAAACCGTTGGTCCCCGGTCCACGAGTTGATGGGTCGATAGGTGGTATGGTCCAGATGAGGAAGGTGCCTGCCTGGCGTCGGTAGCATTAGTACTCAGTACGGAAAACAAAATCGACGAAAAAAAAGAGATGGTGAGGTGTGTGTGTGTGTGTTTAGTAGACAGAGTTGGGTCTCGACAAGAAGTACTGGAGCGAAGCGATTTGTACTACAAACTATCTGCAGAAACGTTTGCCAGTGTCAGCCATCTTACGCACATTGCCGGAGACGAACTAGCCCAGGGCTGAAAGTCTCCTTAATAATGATATAGGTCGGGGAAATGGATGTAATGTCAGCCTTAATGCCCCTAATTTGGGCCCATACATAAATTCAGCAGTCGACTAAATTTTCAATAGCGATCAAAAATATCCATTAGTACAGTACCGTCCCAATGACGCGTTCATCTAGATAAAATTGATAAATAGCAGATTTTTAGCGATGGGCCCAATCTTAGATCCATAGAGCCATTTCCCCTATATAAAAAAATCTAACGTACATTTACGTTTAGAGAAGTGACGGAAGCTGGACAAGAAGGCAACGAAGTCTGGTATTCGTTGGTTACGCGGAAGGGTGGAAAGCAGTGATGCAAAATATCATGACACTCACTCGACACTCGTCAACGCATCAACCGAGTATCGCTGACAGAAGGTTTTATCACGCAGTGAGAGGTAGAGCCATGGCAAACAACAATCATCAGTAATGGTCGCTGCTCACAGGCAAAACGTAACACTCGTTGCTAATGATGTAAAGCACAACGAAAACAGTGAAGACTTCTGAAGTACGATGATGAGAAAAAGCGAAACGACAAAAGAAAATGAAAACAATGCCTACGCATTCCACGTTCGTCTCGGCACATGCGTCTGTATGAGTTACAAACAAAGCTGACAAAATTAAACGGAAGCTATTGGGCTCACTAACCAACACACCAACATAAGCAAGCAAAGCAGCAACTGCTTCAAAACGAGCACAGACGAGTGTCGTGATTCTCGGGATTGACCAGATCGGTGATGGATCACCACCGAAGACGACATTCACCAGTTGCTTTTTACTTCTTTCGTCAACTTGATGAATGGTCATGGAGAGTGCTTCAACAATGATAGGATTGTACCATCAGCTGTTTGACGATTGTGATTATGATAGGTTGCAACTCTGGTGGAAAGCATACCGTATCTTTGATACGAAGAATGACTGCCCTAATAAAAATAACCATAAAAAGAGCTTAACGGCGTGTTCGGAGTATCATTCAAACCATGTGTGGGGTAGTCAACCGGGCTACCTACCGTTTGTTTATGGTATTTGTTTATTAGGGTGGATTGCTATCAGCGGGGATGCCAAATTTTGGGAGTTCAGTAGATTGAGCTATTCAACAAAGGTCAATAAATATCCAGAAAAAGAACCACTGATCTTGAAGCTGTCAGGAAAGAAATTGAAGTCACCCAAGAAGAAAAAGTTTGCACAAGGTACGGACGACAGAATGGTGCTAGTTTCACTGTGGTTGAGTGCCATGCTCGGCACTACTGAAACGGATTCAGAATCAGAAACTGATGATGATGAAGGTGAAGAAGTGGATCCGAACTTGGACACCACGTTGTACGAGAATGCGGCCCTTATTACCGATGTTACATCACGGTGAAGTGACAACTTATCACTCACTGTGCAGTGATTCCTATTTGATTTACGCGGCAATAACTTCACCGTGAGTGACAACTGGTCACTTCACTTCGTTTTCACCGTGAAGTGACACCCGTAATAAGGCCCTGCATCTGAAATGGAATAGTCATTTAGAGGTTTTCCTCTGGACGAGATTGCTAGGCGTTCCACGAGGTCGGCCAAAGGAGTTGTACCGAAAAAGCTGATCGAAAAGATTTTTGCAATTGATGACCTTTTGTCTAAGGAACCAAGTAGCTTTAAGGAAACGGACAGTTGTACACACAGAAAAGTGGATTTTTGTTTCAGGGCTTAATGTATTTTGTTATCGATTAAATAAACAAAATTTTTGAATCTACAAACGAATTATTGACTCTACAACCGGTTTGTTGATTCAAAAATATGTTTCGTTGAGTTAATCGAATAATATATTTGAATCAATACAAAAAATTATACCCTGAGTCAAAAAGATATCCTTTTGAATTTAAAAAAAAATATTTCTCTGCGTGCAAGCAACGTATTGAGTGAAGAGTGCAACTCACGAGATGGTGAAATACAATGCACGGTTGGTGACTCAGGGGTTCAGTCAGAACTTTAGACAGGACTACGATGAAATATTTGCCCATGTGACAAAGCAAACTACGTTGAGGACTCTGCTGGCCTTTGCGAGTAAGCGAAACCTGACCCTTAAGCATTTCGACGTGAAGATGGCCTATCTGTACGAGCAACATGAAAGCTATGCATGAAGCAGCCAACTGGGTTCGATGTCAAATGCAAGGAAACATTGGGCTGTCTCATGAGGAGGATCATTTACGGGGTTGAACAAGTAAAAGTATTCATTTATTCCGGCTAATTTAAATAAAACATTATACAGATTATGAGCAAGCGATCAAACAATGTGTTACAATTTTGCCATGCCATAAACAAACAAAAATTACACATTTTTTCGCCTTCATGGTTTTCACTAATTTTTTAGGGAGGTGACAAAGGTAAAACCTATGATTTGTTCCAGCCTAATAAGCTGCCTCGATTTTTTTTTTCTTTTAAAAAGTCTTTTAAGGGGGCAAACATGGTAGGGGGTGTGTTAAAACTGAACAGGCTTTTAGTTCCAGAACAAGCTGTTGTACAGTTATTTTACAATACCTAGTTCAATTGTAGCCATTTAAATTTGAAGGTGTGATATTATTAACAAAGTTTTCAGTAACGCTTAAAACTAATTCAAAAGTAATCAAGTAATTTATTGAATAGTTCATTAAACGTATTTTGCCGCTTTTGGGTTTTCTTAGATAACGCTTAAATTATTTTCATCTGCGCCAAACTAAAATAGGCGGCTTTTAATTTTCACCTCTAATCTGATTTCAGGGGGCATACAATGTTTGCAATTTTCTACCATTGTTTGACACTCTAAAAATAGGTCATAGCTTGACGCACTTTGTTTCACTAACGACATAGTTTTACGGAACCTTTCAGAACATTCCCGAAATCAGTGCCAGCCCGGATAGTACCTTCATCTTCAGCGATACTACTCAGTATGGTGCTAATTCGTATACAATGAATACGCAATACAAGGACCAGAACCGGAAAACTGTATCGACAACGAATCTGCTGAACAATGTCGACAGCAGTTGGAACGCGTCCGCTGTTGGACATGACGAGCAGGAAACGCCCTGCAACGATTGTGATATTATCTATAATGGCCACGGGACCGACTACGGTGGTTCGCTTCCTTATGCCGACGTCAACCACCACCACCACCACCACCATCATCACCATCAGCATCATCATCTACAGCAACAGCAGCCAAACCAACACCAACACGGGGATTCGTTCAGTTTAAGTGCAATTAAGCGACCACCCAGTGCGGGTAGTGGAAGCACTAGCGGAATGTACAATCAACAGAAGTGTAACTACCTGATAGCAGTTCACCGGAAGCTCAGCAGGCAGGATACGTACTTCCTGTCCCATCACAAGTCCCGACCGGGTTTATTCGGAGTACCATTGTTGATACCATGTTACGACGGTGTTACCAACAAGGAACTGTACTGCTCGGTCTGGCTACAGGTAGCACGATTGCTCAGTCCTCTTCCACCGACACCACCAGATCAATCGAATCATGCTACTGACTGGTTAGTACCTCAGTGCACGGAAATAGAAGGATTCGGATCGCTAATTTATTTTTCGATTCTTTCAGTGATGATAGCCTAGGTTACGACTTCCCATTCACGCTTCGAGCCGTGGCCAGTGGAGGTCGTATTTGCGCCCTTTGCCCCTGGTCCCGTTTTTGCCGTGGTTGTGAAATCCCCTGTAACGATGAGCCTCTTCTTCAAGGACTGACCTGTTCGGGACCATCATCAAGTAAAATTAGACTATCCTCCTCCAATACAACTTAAACATATAAACTTCTCTCAATTCGTTCTGCAGGCAATAGCTCAACGCCAAATCTTTCCTCGCGGGAACAGACTCCAACCTTCCGGAGGAAAACGTACGGAAGCTCGACGACGTCCTCATTGGATGGCATGCAATCATCACCGACCCCTTCGCTGCGGTCGATCAACACCAGCAACATACAGATCGCCATCGATTGGGATCCAACGGCACTACATTTGCGGTATCAAAGCACTCGAGAGCGGGTAAGGCTCCACTATCCGTAAGGGGTTGTTCATAAACTACGTAGACAGTTTTTTGGGATTCTTGACCCCCTCCCTCCCCCTGCGTAGACAATTGTCAATACAAAAATTTTAAAATTTGTATGGGCCGTGGATAATTGTCAACCCCCCCCCCCCCCCTAAACTGTCTACGTAGTTTATGGACAGCCCCTAACAAGTTTTTGATAAACTCTAAATTTCCCTATGTTCATAGCTTTGGACCGAACATGAATCGGTAGCTATTTGCCGGAAGCAGCAAACCGAACCCGTTGATTTGGACCACTGTCTGCGAGCGTTCACGTCGGAGGAGAAATTAGAGCAATGGTACCATTGCTCGCATTGCAAACAGAAAAAGCCGGCCACGAAGAAATTGCAAATCTGGAAACTGCCACCGGTGCTGGTAGGTATCCCCTAATGTCTGTCAAATTTTAATCCACTATCAATTTCTCACCTTCTTTCTGCAGATTGTCCACCTGAAGCGCTTTAACTTTGTAAACAACAAGTGGGTTAAATCTCAGAAAGTGGTCAATTTCCCCTACGACGAGTTTGACCCAACGCCGTATTTGGCATCGGTACCCCAAGAAACCATTCTTCGGCACAAGGAACTGCTGGAAGGGGGTGGCACCAACGACGGTCGAAATCACGACTGTCACGATGAGATTGTTGAATTTGACCGGGAAATGTCCATGATCGATGAGGTGAGCGATGAAGTTTCCCTCTCGTCGATTACGGGCACGATCAATCAAGTCCAAGAAGAAACCTGTGATAGTGCTGGTGATGATGATGATGATGACGATGAGGGTGATGAAGATGAAGATGATGCGGTGAATAATCAGGATGATGGCAATAGTATTACTCCAGCTATTATCGGTACCCAACCGGTGGCCTGTGTTCGACAGGAAAGCACGACCGGTGATGATAGTCCAGGAAGGGCGAAAGGTCGCTTGAGTATGAAATCAAAAGGTCAACGTAAGCGATTGCTTTCGTCGAGTTTAACCAAAACACCAGTGATTGATGGACAGTTTACAGACTTCCACAAACACCATTTGAAACCCGAACGGGACGCATTCGATATGAAGTACCAATTGTACGCGGCTGTGGTAAGTAGCTATTAAAGGTTCCAACTTATTCATCGCCACATAGAACTGACCTCTGAATCCAAAATTCCCACACAGTGCCATTCGGGGATGCTGAACGGTGGTCACTACATCTCTTATGCGGCCAATCCGAATGGTTCGTGGTACTGCTACAACGACAGCTCCTGTCGGGAAATTCCAACCCGACCGAAGATCGATCCCAGCACGGCCTATCTGCTGTTCTACGAGCGACGCGATTTGGACTACGAGCCCTACTTGCCAAAGGTGGACGGGAAGCAAATTCCGCCCGAACATTTGGCCGAGTTCGAGGAGAGCGAGAACGAGCTGAAGAAGATGTGCACGCTTATGTAGAAGATAGCCCCCGCGCTGACCGGTCCCGTTCGTGGCCTCGGCGCAAGCACGCTAGGTGAGTGTTGGACAGTTGGGGATTTTTTAATATTAGGCTCTAAATATATAGGGGAACGTGGGGCAGTTTCGCCATAGGAATAATATGACAAGTTTGTATGGTGGATCGCAACCCACAGCTCTTTCGATCTGTATTGAGATTCCCAATAACTGTGCTAAATTTGAACAAATTTGGTAACGATCTGGATTTGCGGGAGAATTTTAAAATTTGTATGGTAAAATGTATGGGAAATGAGGCTTGTATAAAATTCAAAAATAGCTCAATTTTCACCAAACCAGAGACTTAGATTGACTTGGTATCCCATGCAGGCAGGGATTAACCCTCTCCTTCCCATGGTAGTAAATTAACGCTATAAAATTTCGAAAATGTTTCGAAGTTCAGAGTTAGGAACAATAAATTGATCAATTTAGATGGTCAAGTTTTTAACCCACCACAGCATGCTTTTGGTGCTACTGTATATAGACGATCAAATGTAAAATACTGTGGTAGCCACAGCATAATAGTTCTGTCAAAACCTCAGCATTTTCATTGATCCATTTTCTATCCTCGATTTTCTGTTGACGATAGCGTGATTTTTACAACTTTTTTTTCTAATCATGAAGACCCAGAATTTTCCAGAATGTTGTGGTTATGTGCAAATTTTCAAAAATTCAATTTGATAAAAAAAAAGAATTGTTTTTATAAAACTGGGAAAACTATCAGGGCCCAGGTCAAGGCAAAACTTAGAATGGAGTTCCAGTCCGCATCGTGCTCTCTTGCCGTGCGGATCTATTTGCTTTTTGCTGAAGGAAGTGTTACTACTACCTAAAGCTACAACAAATTTAAACAGCACTTTTCAGTGCTCAACCTGTAAAATTTCTACCTTGTTCAACTTTATTCCTCTTCGATCCTTGTTTGGACCCTACCCGAGGTAATCCTTCTTGGATATCGATTTGGAAAATTCCTCTTCGATCCTTCAGATTCTTATAGTAATCTGCTTGGAAGTCGATTTGGATAATCGCATAATCGCACTTTTCAGTGCTCAACCTGTAAAAATTTTCTACCTTGTTCAACTCCTCTTATTCCTCTTCGATCCTTGTTTGGACCCTACCCGAGGTAATCCTTCTTGGATATCGATTTGGAAAATTCCTCTTCGATCCTTCAGATTCTTATAGTAATCTGCTTGGAAGTCGATTTGGATAAAAATTTACTGCCGCCATGGCGCCTAAACGCAAAAGAAAGGGGCAAACTCTTGACCCCCCTTCTGAAGAAATTAATTTGAGTAATCAATTTGATTTGCTCACGGATGATGAGAATGATCCATCATCCAAGAAAAATTCTAGTAAACTTTCCCGGCTTAATGCCAAGAAAGAAAAGATTCCCCCTATTGTGATAACCACTTCCGATTTCCATGCTCTTCGCATGGAACTTTTGAATTTCGTGAAAGTTGAGTTTTCACTACAAATTGGACGTCGGGGTGAATGCCGTGTATTGGCTGAAACCTTGGACGGATTTAAATGTCTTCTCAAGTATCTTACTGAGAAGAAGCACAAATTTTTTACTTACGACACCAAAACTGAACGTGTGTTCAAGGTTGTCATGAAAGGACTGCCCAGTGGTGAATCCCTGGATCAGATCAAAGATGAACTGGCAAAATTACTTGGAGTTGTGCCACTCCAAGTAATCAAAATGAAAATGAAATCCCGTCCTGGCGATTCGCGCAACGGGATTTCTAATGATTTTTATTTAGTTCACTTCAAGTCTAGTGAACTAAACAACCTTAAGGCCTTAGAAAAAGCTAGCCTTATGCTCCATGTCCGAGTGAAGTGGGAACACTTCAGGAAGACTGGAGGAAATTTCCAAAACCTCACCCAGTGCCGTAAATGCCAGGGATGGGGTCACGGAACTAAAAATTGCTACATGCCAGCTAAATGCATGAATTGTGGTGATTCCTCTCACGCAAAGGACGACTGTCCTGTGAAGGAAGATCCTAAGAAATTTAAATGTACAAATTGTGGTGAAAACCACAAATCCAATTTTTGGGAATGTAAGACTCGCAAAGCGATCCTACAATCTCGTTCTAACCGACAGGTAAGAAACGCTCCACGTTTCCGACCAGGTACAAATTCCTCTGCTGTTAACAACGGTCAGCGAGGAACAAATTCTACATTCGTACCCGTAGGTACAAATATCACCCCTGCTTCAAATGTTTCATCTGTACCTACTCCCCTCGCTGCTAACAATGTTCAGCAAGTTAATGGAGCTACCTATGCTGCTATTGCAGCGGGTAGAAATCAAAATACTAGCCAAAGTAATTCTAACGGAAATTTTGACAATTTTGATTTAGGAAGCATTACTGCCCCTAAAATGGAATTTTTACAGAAATCATTAATTGACATGATTTCTGATATGCTTAAATCTAACTCCATGTTTGATGCTATTCAAACTGGAGTAAAATTTGCAAATAATATTGTCATGACTTTAAAATTCAGTAATGGATTTTAAAGCATTAAATATTATAAATTGGAATGCTCGATCTCTTAAAGATAATGAAGACGAGCTATTTAACTTTTTGCGAGTTCATAACGTGCATATTGCCGTTATAACTGAAACGTTCCTTAAACCTGACCATAAGGTTAAGAAGGACGCAAATTACTTGATTTATAGAAATGATCGTCTTGATGGACCCTGTGGTGGCGTTGCCATCATTATTCATAGACGAATCAAACATAAAATTCTTTCTTCATTTGAAACCAAAGTTTTTGAAACTTTGGGAGTTTCTGTTGAAACAAAATTTGGACAACTTACGTTTATAGCTGCCTATTTGCCATTCCAATGCGTAGGCCAGAAAAAGAATTTTCTCAAGGGTGACCTCCAGAAACTTACCCGTCATAGGTCTAAATTCTTTATTATTGGTGATTTTAATGCAAAACACCGCTCATGGAATAATGCTCAAAGCAATTCTAATGGTAATATTCTGTTTGATGATTGTTCTGCAGGTTATTACACTATTCAATATCCAAACAGCCCAACATGCTTTTCTTCTGCAAGAAATCCCTCCACTATTGATTTGGTCTTAACTGATTCATGTCAACTTTGTAGCCAATTGGTTACCCATGCTGACTTCGGTTCTGATCACCTTCCAGTAACTTTTGAAATATCCCAAGAAATAATTTGTAATCCCAACAGCTCTACTTTCAATTACCATAGAGCTAATTGGGAGCAATATCGAACATTTATGGAATATAACTTCGATCCAAACATTCCTTTGCAAACCAAAGATGAAATTAATTATGCTCTTGAATCTCTGACTACTTCTATAGTTGCAGCAAGAGCTGCCTCAGTACCAAAATGCGAGGTTAAATTCGATTCAATTATAATAGACGACGATCTTCAGCTCTTGATCCGTCTTAAAAATGTTCGTAGGAGACAATATCAAAGAACACGCGATCCTGCCATGAAGGTTATCTGGCGGGATTTGCAAAAACAAATTAAAAAGCGATTCTCTGCCCTGAGGAACAAAACTTTTGAAAATAATATTTCTAAATTAGACCCGAGTTCCAAACCTTTTTGGAAACTCACAAAAATTTTGAAAAAACCTCAAAAGCCTATTCCAGCGCTTAAAGAAGGTGGTAAAATTTTGATCACAAATTTGGAAAAAGCTCAGAAACTTGCTAAGCAATTCGAGAGTTCCCATAATTTCAGTTTGGGTCTTACTAGTCCTATTGAGAATCAGGTTGCTCGGGATTTTCTGAATATTTTCTCTCGGGAAAATATTTTTGATGATTCCTGGGGGACTGATTTGGACGAAGTAAGGTCTATAACTAAAAAGGTTCAAAATATGAAAGCTCCAGGAGATGATGGAATTTTCTATATCCTCATCAAAAAACTCCCAGAGAGTACCTTGTCTTTCCTGGTAAAATTATTTAACAGATGTTTCCATTTGGCATACTTTCCTGATAAATGGAAAAATGCAAAAGTTGTTCCAATTTTGAAGCCGGATAAAAATCCAGCTGAAGCTTCTAGCTACCGCCCAATAAGTTTGCTTTCTTCAATAAGTAAACTTTTTGAAAAGATAATTTTGAATAGAATGATGCTTCACATCAATACGAACTCAATTTTTGCAGATGAGCAGTTTGGATTTCGCCATGGGCATTCAACTACTCATCAACTCTTAAGAGTTACCAATTTAATTCGTTCAAACAAATCGGAAGGCCACTCAACTGGAGTTGCTCTTCTAGACATAGAAAAAGCATTCGACAGTGTTTGGCATGAAGGTTTGATTGCTAAATTGGAAAAAGTTTAATTTTCCACTTTATATTATGAAATTAGTTCAAAATTATTTAACTGACAGAACTCTGCAGGTAAATTATCAAAATTCCAAATCTAATCGACTACCTGTTAGAGCAGGAGTTCCTCAGGGTAGCATTCTTGGGCCTATATTGTATAACATTTTCACTTCGGACCTCCCTGATTTGCCTCAGGGTGTGTATGTTAGCAAGGCATTGTTCTACTTTTACCAAGATGTTGATTGAAGCAAAAGAATTTTGAGTCGTCGGTATTTAGGTTTTATGGGTTTAAGGAAATGGTATCGATAGTTGCATGTTGCGCGTTTCTGAAGTGTTGGTAAATATTTTAATTGACAAACTTGAGTTTTGTCAGTTAAGCATAGTTAAAAGGAAAATGAAAACATCATGCAACAATGTTGCATGGGAGAAAAATAGATGGTCATTTGAATAATTCAATGTAATTATCAAACAGAAAAATATAGCATTCTCTTTTTAATCGGCGCATAAACTCATACTGATATTGAATCCCGAGCAAGGCCGGGGTGAAAATCAGTTTAATTTTATGAGTGTTCGTCCATGATTTATAAATTTATGTTTATTTATCACATTGCCATTGAAAATACGGCGTTTATATCTTTTCTTGAGATTTCATTTGATACATTATGAAAAAATGTAAAACAATCCGTACGAAATCGTATTCATAAGGAAGGTCTTAAGCACAGAGTAGCTCTT